ATCGGTCTCGATAAAATCTTTAATGCAATAAATGTATTTGTTGAATAATGAAACAGGAAAATATTAATAAGATTATCTCTGAGATTGAACAATTACATCAACATGGTCTAGCGGTTCAGTTTGAAGAGAGGAGATATCTTCTAGGGACATAATATAGATTGATCAAAATACTCCAACGAGAAATGGAACTGTCACTTGTAGATTTACATGAAAAGCATGAGATAGCTCACTTTGTTCCACTGGCAACCACCACTGAGAAAACGGAGTCAAGTTTGTCTCTACAATATGGAACTCGAGTAATTGCGCGTGCGAAACAGCCAAAACAACCTAGTGTTGGAATCCGATCCCTCCACAATTGAATAGCAACGTCACCAAAAGTTTATCGACACAATATGATCTGTGATGTTAGTGTCGCTAATTTTATCGGTCTTTTCCACGTTTAGCTGTTTATGGTCGGATGTTTCATGGCCTGTCACGCATATACAAACTAATGTTTAATTCCTCTGCGTTCGTGTCCATTAAATTATCGTTTTGGTCGATTAGACGAAAACATATTAGTGACAGAGACAGATTATGACATCGTAAAGAAACAGGATTAAATGGCACTGGACAATCATATGACACGGTGGAACATCTCGAGAAAAGCTGTAAAGAACATATCTCTGCTGAACCTGCCGTGTGATGCTTGTTGCGAAGACACGTTATAGCTGACATCGACTGCGTCACAAACACGATTTACAGAAATCATCTATGTGATATCAACAATGCCTAGCGTACGTGATGACAACAGCCTGCTGGATCGTTGTTACGTCGCAATATATCTAGACAGGACCTTATTTTTCTCCCATATGGCATACATCTTTTGAAAATACTCGTCAATAATGTTATTGATATTCCACTCCATTTTACAAAATCGAACCTGTGCTTAACTGGTATTTAATAATATTAAAATGATCAATAATTTTATTTTATAATAATAATAATAATAATAATAATAATAATAATAATAATAATGATAATGATAATGATAATGATAATAATAATAAATTAATAATAATAATAATAATAATAATAATAATAATAATAATAATAATAATAATAACAATAAGAATAGTAATGAGTACATTGTATAGTGCCTAATTATTAACGCTCTCAGATCCTTTCATAATTAGACTGCACTTAAAAAAATTAAAAAATCTGGGTTGTTTCATACTATAGATGTACTTTCATCATAAAAAGCTACAGCTTCCAACACAGATTTTTGAAAGTATTCCACATTAGATTTCCCCAGCTTCAGATGTTACACAGTGTAAATGATACTTTGCTTACGATTATCATTCGCATATTCAAAAACATACTGCTCGAAAAGCGTTCTCAGACTGAGCTGATTATGTTAAAATTCCTGCGCTATTTTATTGATAAGTACTTATTGATAAGTACTTTGCAAGGCGTATCTGATTTTTTGCATAACTCTTATTCTTTCTTCACAAATAAATCTTTAATTGTAAAACCGTTCTTTTCCCATAATATAATCCCATATATTTCCGTATATCATCGATAACAGCCGGAAGAATAAAATCTGACCAATTGTCTGCACCAGCAAGATTTATAGAGACTATTATATACCACGGTCTTCTCATAATTGTTCGTTAATCTAATAAATAAATTAGCACGTTCAGTGGCCATCGACGACTTATATATGTCAACGTTCTAGTCAGGTTCCTGTGACCCATCCCGTTTCTTATACTAGAAAACAAACGAATAGTTAGAGTCTAATCCATCAAATCAATTTTCTGAGATATTTGGATAAGTATAATAACATCGTAATTTTGCCAGTGAGATCTCAAGTGACCGACCATTATTAAATTCCGGCTGCGTTGTGTTAGCGATGATCCGTTCAATTCATGTGATTATTTCTGCGGTCATTATTATCTATACTGCCGATTCTAAATCGGGTGTAGCAATGTTGGCACGTGAATGTTTGATGTCTTGTGATACCGATAATAAACATCCTTATTTTCATTGAATTCGTTATCTGATATTGTACCTTAGTTCAATTCCACTGACAGAATTGACGATATTTTTATCACGCATACATGGAGGTGTATATTATTTATATGTGTTTGTAGAATTTTTTACCTTCGTATGTTGACAGATTATTTGAGAGGATAATGAAGATATCAGCAACGCCGACAACAACGTTGACACCAATTACAATCACTGGCAAATATCAAGTGTGTCGCTGATAACGTCGTTGTTCATGGGTGAAGCGAAGCTACCACGTAAACAACTTTGTCGATGAAGGTCATTCATCTGCTATTTTTTAAATTTGCTTTATATCTTGTGCTTGTCAATGATTTCTCTCGGCAATTTATCTTGTTGTGTACTAAGTTACCAACTTAGGTGTTTTCAAAGCTAAAATCCAGACACCAACAATATTTCAATTCTTTTAGAGTTTTGTCTTCTGGATCCAATATACATATTTTCTAGGCATTTTCATTTAATCTGTCGCGGAAAATTAGGCCATAGATATATCATAAATATCCTAAAGTTAGCTACGGAAAACGCAGAAAGACTGATCACACCAATAGTTCTTTGAATTTTACCGCGAAAGTAGCGAGCTTAACGTTGGTAACTATTGGATCTCCAAAGAAATTAACAGCGACTGTATTTATGTTTCTGCGTGACGGTGACGTGATTAGTATATTCAGATCTGAATAATACCAGTCCATCATTTAATTTTTGCAAATCAGGTCCTTTTCACGATGACTTTGTTGTCCACGTATTTCTTTGTAACAGCTTCATTGCCCGATTATTGGTTCTCTAAAATTAGCGATTCTATTTTCGAAAATGATGAGTTCACTAGTCATTGAAATTTGACCAACGCCTTTAAGGATCTCCCCATGGTCCCCCGTGAGAGTTACACGACTGAGACCTTGATTGTTCTGTAACGGGTAAATACCAAAATGTTATCGTTTATCCTACTTGACATTCACAGTATACTATCGACCCTTATGATATTGCTCGTCTTTAGCCGCCACTGTTTACCCTGATAAAAAACAAGTTCATCCTGCTCAACCCAGGCGAGACGAAACAGATGAGCACGTTCATCTAGTGTCGCACACGAGGACAATTCAACGTCACCCCATGCTCTTCAAAATTATTACCTGTTATGATAATAGAACAGGAATAATTTTAAATATTTAATAAATTCTCTGTTAAATTCATGGACACAAATAATTGATCTTCATTTGCAAATATATTGGTATAACTTATATAAATTGTTGTAGCCGTATAATTTAAATGAGACAGTCAACGAGTGGTTAATGAATACCGAAAATCTTTCGATCAAACTAGTGAATCTTACCTCAAGTGTTTGATCCCATAGTGTGACATGCATGTTTTCGGCCTTTTCAAAATTAAAACGTGGCGATGGTTGCCTGCATTGCATATATAAAAGATGAAATATCGTTGACTGAGTAATTGCAAAATTGTTAAAACTTAAAGTAGATGCACTTGTCTGGGCATATCTACCAATAAGGGTGTTTACATGGGTGAGCGTATGTGTATTGATTAAGAAATTGACAAAATTAAAATTCAGTCTGGACAGCCCTCTGAATTTCTAAAGTTTCGTCCATGTTATATAAATGTCGCAAACAAAAAATACTTGTCGTTGTTTGATGGTTGGTTTACTAACACCATGTGAAAAATAATTCAGGTGTGAGTTTTTGAGTCAATTTATACAGATGATATCTAGATACATAAAATGGTCAAATAAGTGAAACATGAGTTGAACAAGTTAGTCATGAATCAGCAGAAAAAGTGATGATAATGAGTTTAAAAAGCATCTCGTACATGCTAACTTCGAAGCGAATCGAGTCGGAATTAATACAATATTTGCTGGAAACATAGCAAAACATAATAATTGAGTACCAGGGCTAATAACAAGGCACGGTTACGAAAAGGGGGCCTTTTGTATTATTTGCAGGTCATATTCTCCAGTCTTTCCGCGTTATTCCTATTCGCCCTTTTGTAAATAATATTGCAAAAAAGCAATTGTTTATGCCTGGGTTAGGTAATTTGCGTGAAATAAAAAAACCCTCATTGAAATTGAAAAATATTTCGTTGAGGCAGTATAATTGAGTAACGGGGTATAGTAACAAGTGTTGTTACAAAGGCCGATGACACAATGTTCGCTCTGTGTATTTTTATTTTACAGTGAAAATACCTTCTCTACCCACATATTCCTCATTTCGCACCCCAGCTTCATCTTAACGGACTCAATATACACTTTAACAATAGCTGAGTATGCACATAGTAAAACAAATAGTAAAATATGAGCTTGTCTTTTATTAGTTAGATTTCGACGAAATACTTCAGTGACTAGGGTCCTTATTATGCAGTCTGCTTTTGTAAATTCTCTGCCTATAAATGAGTTACTGCATTGAAACTCGCTCGGTCTTTCAAATTACATTCAGATGTGCATCAACGCAGACTGTATATATTATATCTAAGTGAAGAAAATGTTTATTAAGGTGTCAACATATATATATATATATATATATATATATATATATATATATATATATATATATATATATATATATATATATATATATATATATATATATATATATATATATATATATATATATATATGGTTGTTGTAAGGTTTAACGCCATTTTTCAGCACAAGATAGGCTATACACGTCGGCCAGTATTAATGGTGGAGGAAGAACTATGGAAAACCCAGGGAAGAACCACCGACCCACGAGAAGCTACTGGCAGGCTTTCTCACTTACCCACGTTAGCCGAGTCTGGACTCGAAATCACGCTGACAGAGGTGAGATGGCAGTGATCCGTAACGGTCAGCGCTTTAGACCACTCGGCCACACGGGGCCCATATATATATATATATATATATATATATATATATATATATATATATATATATATATATATATATATATATATATATATATATATATATATATACAGGAGACCGCTAGGTGGCCTAGTGGGTAGAGCGTCCGTCTTGCATGTGGGAGGTCCTGGGTTTAATCCCCGGTCGAGTCATACCAAAGATTTACAAAAATGGTACTAACAGCTGCCTCGCTTGACGCGCAGCATTAAGAGGTTAGTGTTAGGACTGGTCGGCATGGTGTGAGGATAATGTGACTGGGTGGGACATCATGCTACATGTCTGCCGCCTGCTGTCCCAGTGTTAGACATCACTATAAACTGCCACACTGCAAGCATGGTAGCGAAAATTGTTAAAGCTACGTTATAAATCGTAATTACAACACATAATCACATAGATATACAGGAATTTACAAATCCGTTTGACTGACTGACGGGAAAAGTTGTGTCCGGCACTCAAAGGTTTGTTTGTCACATGCAACTGAGTGGATTCAAAAGCAGAAAGTGACATCCAACTAATTATATGTAATGTTTGTTATCTAGACATTATATACATATATAAAACAATCGTAATATCAGTGCTACATTACCAAGAAGGAAATATCTCCACGGTTTTTATATCAGTACCTTTATTTAATGGTGACATATATCGCATTATTCTTCTACGTAACTGGCGAGTGTCTTTTTCAGATATGGTCTCAATAATGTAATTTCCATCGTTTATTCAATTTAAAGACTGATGTCGCAGTTTGTGGATCAGAGGTAAAATGCAACAATTTACTATTTAAGGTACGTTTTGAAAGGTGAGGAATAACAAACTTAATTTAAAAATACTTATCAGTTTCATTTTGATCATGATTTCTTTTAAATACAAAGTATTTTCTTGCCCTTAAAACTATTCATGCCGGCAATTGATATGCTGAGTTGTTCTAAGCAATCAGATTATCATTCATCGATTAACGTTGCTGATATTAATCTGATAAGGTATTAATTGTTAATAATATAATTGTTGAATTTTATTTGATAGATGTGTTTGGAAATAAAATACACTTTTTTCGTAATAATTAATCAACAGGCAGAATTCGTTCAAAGCATGGCTGATATTAAATGAGTAGAATTACTTTACAGCAGACGAATTCAATGCGTAGTGATTTCTTGACAAGCAATTAAATGAATAAAAAGTAACTGTTCTCAAACCATTCTCAAAATTCTTCTTATCATATATGTTTATGTGGCTGAATTCAAGATGGCAAAATATATTCTGCAAGAAGAATCAGTCAAAATAATGTGCAGCACACAAAAGGAGTGACAGCATTTTTATATGAGTTGTACATGTGCTGAATTCATTTTCGCCTTGTTTGAATTACCGGGTGGATAATTCAATTTGGATGATCAATTAACTTAATTGCATAAAATGAAATACATTAAAAGATGATTAAATTGAGCGACGGCTCTCTCTCTCTCTAAACTATTTAAACATTATGTTATGTATATGTATTTTGCATTATTTGTATGTTGTAACTTGTATATTGTTAGTATATGCTGTGGGTAATAAAGCAATGTTTCTAGTGGATGACCTTCACTAAAGTCAATGACAGTTTTGGTAAATGCTATAATTATTTAAGCTGAGTCAAGGACGTTCTATTTTGCATGGCTGGACTGCATGGTGATTTATAATATAAATCTTGTTTATTTGAAAATAATCATTGCTGTTTACAGATACAGTTTGAATTATTGTTGTATCTTGTAATTCATTTTCCGCTGGAATTTAGTTCCTCAAATTGTTCATTTCAAGTATGCTATTGTGGAAATACATAGGGTTTAATAACACATCTTTGGCCACATAAATTCATTGTAATTTGAAGCGAATTCAAACATAGAATTGTATTACTGAGATTCAACGAAAGATCCTTGATACAATACCACGATACAATGCAACATACACGCTCACAGTGTTTGATATAATTGTAATTTCTATCAAGGTGTATTCAAGACTATTACTATTAAGACCTGTGTCGATTTCTCTTGCATTATCTGCAGATTTAATTTGCTATACTGTAAGATTATTAAATTTTTGTTTTGTATTCTAGGGATAATTTTCGTTTTGTATTCTAGGGATATAATTTTTTAGTGAGCTTTGGAAAGCTTATTGTTTTCCACTATTCTGAGCTAATTTTGAAGACTTATTCTCTTAGCAAATTCTCCGTCTCATGGACATTTTTGTCCGCATGTGTCATATACTTATATGTTTTTTATACGTTTAATTATCGGCATATAGTTGTAGAGATTAAACAAAGACATGCTTTAAAGTCAATACAATGCGATTTCCTCAAATTATAGAATAATTTAGTTTACCCTGTTTGTTTTACTCAGGTTGATTTATTACGTTTGGGGCAATCTCATTACCCCTGAGAAAAGGTTCAAATTTTTGAATTAGCTTGCCTTATAGAAGCTGACATTTGTAACATGTATACATTTCTTATATAAATAACATTTAAATACACCGGAATAAATCAATTAAGTAAAGACTTATTTTTTTTAAATTTGTGATCTAATTCAGATTAAAACTGGTTGTTGTTATATTCACCAGATATTGTAGAAATATGGCATATAAGTGCAATATTATTCAATATCAAATTCATTATGTAATTGAGCTCCATTTATTAAATAGGGGTTTATTTACATCTCGACTCTGAATGAAAAACTAGAATGAGCGATACAAAACCAGTCATTCCTATATCAACATGAATCGTGAAGCAAAAAAATACACGAATATAAAGGAGCACTTAATAAGGTCTTGAATGACTCTATAACGGATGGAGTAATTGAAGAATATCAAAGGTTCTCTAACTCAAAATTACATTGAATTAGGTCAGCGTTAGCGTGGTATTACGGGTCATTAAAAGAGGAAGTCCCGATAAGCATCCGACCCCTACCTTGGGTATTATTCTAGGGAAGAAGGGCAAATTTCGCCGTGCGATTCATAATCCTCTTCCTAACCAGATAAGCAACGAAACCTGGGATCACTTGAACTGTAGGAATAAGTGACGGTTAAGAATGTAATTACTGAAATCATGTTACCTAAAAATAGCACAAGGGAATCTATTGAATATAGCAGGTCGTGTTCATTCATATAACTGGTAGAAGAAACTAGAAGGCACTTTGAGTGACCTGAATCACTTCACACCCAGTTCTGGGGGAATAAATAAATTCAGTGAGATCAAAAATCGGTTTGGGAGCTCCTAAGTACAATTGTTTCCGTTGAATAGATATTGGTACACATGTGAATGAGTAGATTCCTTGTTCTGAGGACACCCAATGTCTCTTCAAACTGCTGAGACCAAAATCATTCCAAACGCGTGTGTGGATTGCGCTGAAGATTGCGCTGAAGTACGACCTGGAAGGTTCAATCCCTCAGCTGCCTATCACCGAACTTCCTTTAATATTTCTACAAAGTAACGGTGAAACGGACAGGGTCGTCGCGAATGGTCAGCTATGATAAATAGTAAATCGCAGACATGCGACACATCGCACTAATAATTGATTGTTCGGACACGTCACATTATTGGCCATAATATGGTGAGCAGCAATACTCATTGACCATATCATTCCTGGACGTGACCTCTTGAGCTTAGCTATTGCCAGGTGTCTGCAAACCAGTTCTATTAGGCATGGAATCGGTATTATCCGACACAGCAAACTGAGGTGCGGACATATGAACAGGTAAGAAGTCCTGCAAACATTGGCTGAGAAAGTAGATTAATGCAAGCAACTTAAAGTAAATATATTACTCTGCAAAGTTAATCCAAAATGAACATTGGAGAGACCCATAGGAAAACCAAAAATGACTGAAACGTCGAAGTATGCATTGTACACGTGGTCTACACAAGAGTGAAGTTAAGAACTAGCTGCACGTGGGTATTTCAATGGGCAAGTGTTATTACCGCTTGGCATTTAATATAGACAAGAAAAGATGATTTTACGCCTTTTATTAGAGCTGCATTAGCTAGGTAGCAGACTAATATTCCTAACGTTATATGTTTGGGAAAGCAGTATAGGAGAAAGATTATACACATAAGAATATGACATTTTGAACAAGGCATGATATGAACGTCCAACATTACTGACCCCTTTACTTAATGTCCCATTGATTTTCCTTCACCTATTAACCTATCATACGGTCCTGAAATAAAAGCAATATGTATTTGCAGTTTTTCTATAGTTAACTAACATATTTATGACTAACTTTGACATTACCAAAGTATCGAATGCAAGAGAACGAATCACATCGCTTGTCATGGGTAACGATGTTAAATTCGCTTGGTAACGAGGTCGATGATTCAGGAATGTAAGTGCTCTGTTAGGCAAGCTCTTTTTATTTGTGAAAATTGCTAAATTAATACTTATTTTATAGTGTACTGATCTCATGTTAATATAATATTGTTTTAATTTCTTAATTCAGTGAACACGACACAGGGAACGACGACATCTCTGTAAGATGGCACAAGATTATTGTCCTATTATCTTGAAGATCAACATTCACGTCACAAATGTATATACGATAAAGATACAACTTAAAAACGACATGGCACGAGATGAGTGTATTCGTAGTCAGTGTCAAACGGTCATTGCACTGGTATGCCAAAGCGAACTAACATTATGCAAAAAGAGGAACATGTGAATCTTTCTAATTAAAAGGAAAAAATATAATGTACAAATGGCAACCATAGAGTAAAAAAAAATGAAATGATTTCCAGATCTAGGTTTAAAGCATTCGTGCATATATTTAAATGAAAACTGCATTTCTTCACTTGTAACAGGTGATGATGCAGAAAATGATTATATGCAATAAAATTGACCATCTGTGAAATAATGTAATTCATATTTCATATTGAATTTAAATCGATAATTGCGTTAATCTCGTTTTTTATCTCATGCTTCCAAAGTTTCTTAAAATATAGTTTTTGCTTAGCATGTAATAGACCTAATCACACACACACACACACACACACACACACACACACACATATATATATATATATATATATATATATATATATATATATATATATATATATTTCTTTTTTTTACTTGGAATGTGTTTTCGTTTTCCTGGTAAGGCTTGTTAGCATAAAGTATGTACAATTAATTATGTT